GGGGAGTCCAAAGTTGGATGCAGATTTTCAACCCTGCGGGCTGCCCCTCACCTGTCCCCCGTCCCCGCCGGTGAAGGGTCCACTCTGTTTCCAAGTCCCCTGTCTTCTGTGAGCAGCACAGGGATGCGTCATTTCTCAGCGTGGGGCACGCGGTGTGCTTGATAGTATGTTCTACAAAGGCGGGCCCCGCTGCCGGTCATTGAGAGTCACAGGGACCCATGTCGGACTTCTTCCACGTGTTCTGGGAGCGTCTCATTCCATCACTCTAGGGATCGAGTACAGGTGACGTAAAAGCTAACATCTGGAGACTTCGACAGATGTTTGCAGCATCCCCTCCCCTGCCGTGTGCGAGGAACGTATTGTGTGTGTACGTCTGAGTTCAGCCCTCTTCCCTGTCCTCGGGTGCCACACGGAGAGCCTCCTCCCTGCTCTCACGCCGCTCAGAGTGCATGGAACCCACGTAAACGAAGAGGTTTTTCTCGAGATACTTCTGAGGACCCCACAGATTCTCATTTGTGCCTTGTGCTTGTAAAGTGAAAGTATAATTTGTAATAGAAAGTGGTTACTTTCTTTTTTTTTTTTTTTTTTAATTTATTTTTTTTTTTTATAGGAAAGGAACACAAGTAGGCAGAGAGGCAGGCAGAGAGAGAGGAAGGGAAGCATGCTCCCTGCTGAGCAGAGAGCCCGATGTGGGACTCGATCCCAGGACCCTGGGATCATGACCTGAGCCGAAGGCAGCGGCTTAACCCACTGAGCCACCCAGGCGCCCAGAAAGTGGTTACTTTCAATTTTACTTTTTTCCTATGCTAAGATTATTCTTGACCAACATTTTCTCTCTCCCCCTCTAAAGTGTGATTCGAGCCCTCCCTGAGCAGTTCATTCCTTTTATTCTCTGGTGCTTTTCTCGTCTTCCTTTTCCGTCCTGTGCTCTTGCTGGCAGCAGAGACCAGTGGGGGCGGTCTAGGCGTCCCAGACAGAGGTCAGTCCTGCGGGGCAGCGTCTGGGCCTGGTCCCGCGGGTCTTCGGCTGGCCTCCCTGGGATCTCCTGCGGTTGTGGTGACCTGGCTGCTGGACTGACACCGACACGCCCCAGGCAGCCTCTGACGTGTTGGGGGGGGTCAGGTGTCGGGCTGCCTGACAGTGAGCCTCGTCTCCCCGCGCCCCTCCCCGGAGGCCGTTCACCCTCCTGGGAGGTGAGACCCTGCTCTTCGGGCCCGAGTGCCAAGACAGCTGGCCCCAGAGGCAAAGCACTCCGCAAACGCTTGGCCGGAGAAGTGACACGATGAGGTCCAGAGTTAGGAGTGTTGGGACTGCGCGGGCGTGGTTAGCAGGAGGCAGGATGGCAGGGCAAGGTCACGAGCGGCCTGGCGTAGCGGGGTCGGGGAGTTGTTTTGCTGGCTGTAAATCACGGGGGCCGTGTTCACGGTCGATTCTCTTTTGTGTTGGAGTCAGGGTGATGAACGTTTATTTCGCACTGGGTGCTGGGGGTTCGCGGAAGAAGGCAGTTTGGCTGCTCTCAGGCCAGCGCATGAAACACTCGCGGTCTCAGGTTTGAAGAAAACATCCGTGAACACTTTCATGCATGGCTTTAGATGAAAACGACAGAACTGCTTCTGCAGAGCTGTGCTGGGGCCTGAGTTTGCTTTCAGAAAGTGCTGTTAGGTCTTTGAAAAAAAACGGGTTGCTATGATGACTTGGCTCTGGGCCTGCAGACTGTGGTGACGGCAGGGTCACCAAGGAAACCAGAAGATGCAGCTTCCGAAGGTCTCTGGAGGCTTTTGTTGCTGCTGTGGCGAGTCTGATTGGCTTAGCAGAGCGGCGGTGAGCGTGGGAGCCGCCCGGCAGGGGCTCGCCGTCCTGCCTGAGCGTCTGGGATCTGGCTCTGGTCGCTTTGGAAATCTCCTGTTTGGCTCCTGGTTTCAGAAGAAGGGGTTCGTGGGGGAACTTTCTTGATTCCGGTGAGCTTCGGCTGAGAGGCCGACTCTGCGGACAGAACAGGAAGTGAGGTCGCGTCTTCAGCGCGGTGTCAGCGTGAGCCCTGCCTGTCTGCACACTCCTCCCCTGCGGCGCTGGGCTTCTCTCTCGCTGGGGCCTTCCCCGTTGGCGACCTTGCTTCCTAAAGGTGACAGTGGTGTGCACGTCTAGGGGCCTCTCTGCCTGTTGGCGGTTGGAAATGGGGCCTCCGTGGGAAGCGCCATCCAGGAGCCAGCTCGTGACCTTCCTCAGGCTCGGGTGCAGAGAGAGGTCTGAGTCTTTACACCAGCAACAGGCCGCGTGCGGGGGCTCGCCGGGATCTGCTCGTGCTTGTGCAGTACCCCCCGGCCGAGGTTCGCTCAGCAAACTGGAGGTCATGTCGTTTTGGAGTTACGTGTAGCCCGCAGGGGTCTGAGTTGTTCTTACCTTCGGCTGATGTGTGTAAATGCAGTGTTTGGGTTCCTGGTTGGCATGAGGGTCCCGCGTGGGCCCCCGCAAGCCGAGAGTTGCACAAGAATTGAAAGAACCACAGGTAGACTTTTTTTTTTTTTTAAGATTTTATTTATTTATTTCACAGACAGAGATCACAAGTAGGCAGAGAGGCAGGCAGAGAGAGAGGAAGGGAAGCAGGCTCCCTGCTGAGCAGAGAGCCTGATGTGGGGCTCGATCCCAGGACCCTGGGATCATGACCTGAGCCGAAGGCAGAGGCCCCAACCCACTGAGCCACCCAGGCGCCCCCACAGGTAGACTTTTTGAAAGGTCTTTACCGTGGAACTGGTGCGGGGCGTTTCTGAAGTCTTCCGTGGGCCAGTGACCATTTAGAAAGTCCCCCACGGTGTCGGGTAGAGGGCCCGAGAGGAAAAGGCCCTTCGCAGGAGTAACCGGGGTGTGCGAGACGGGGGCAGGGCCGGGGGCGGTCGGATCCGCCTGCTGATGAGCATCGCACTCTAACTCGTCCGCCAGGACCGCGTGGCGCGGGCCTCACCTTCTGCCCGGACAGGGAGGTTCAGAACTCGGCCTCGCCAGCAACTCAGCGCGCGAGCTGTTCGCCTCAGCACGGCGAGCCCCCCAGCGCCGGACCGGTGGGAGCCGCCGGGTTTCTGGAACCCAGCTGCCGGCGTGTTCTGTAGTTGTTAGAACCGGGGCTGGGCGAATGGTTAGAGCCGCCGCTGCGATCTCAGGGCCGGCGGCCGGGGCTCCGTAACGCAGTGGGAAGCCCCGTATTTGTTACTGTCCTTCTATCTAGGAGGTTACACGAGAGGTTTTACCCCGCTGTTTCTGAGAGTAAATTTGTAGCAGGAAGGAGGATGGGGTGAAGGCGGAGAAGTGGCCCTAACTTCACTGGCCTTTCCCTTTGGGCAGACGATAGGCATCTGGGAGCAGTGTTCTTCTTGCCTCTGGACTGAGATTGCTTAACATTTGGGGAAAGGTCAGGGACACCACTGGGAGTTTGAAGGAAGCTCTGAACCCTTCCCTGGGGCAGGGGTGGGATGGAGCAGGGACGGGGCAGGGACGGGGCGGGAGGAGGCATCTCGGTGCCTGTGCCGTCGTGTGCACATTGTCGGGGTACTCCTAGGACTCCATGTAGCTCTAAAATCTAATGATGCCATAGGTGATTAAGCGTTGTTTACTTACTGGGAAATTATTTCTGGTGACCTGATTCTGAGATTAAAAAAAACCAACAAGACTGCTCGTGCAGGAAGGTGGTTTTCCGTCAGGGCACCCACATGTCGCTGAGCACTCTTCTGGAGAGTTTGCCGGTAGGTGCTGAAGCATTTTACGCTCTTCCTTAACTCAGCAATTCTACTTCTCCGAAATCTCTCCTAAAAAAATAGTTCCAAAATGGAGAAAAATTTTTGTGCCCAAAGATGGTTGTCAAGAGATGCTTTTTATATATATGTTTTATATATATTTTTTTTTGAGAGAAATTTTATTTATTTATTCATTTGGCAGAGAGAGAGAGGGTGTGCATGTGCACACACGAGAGATTGCACAAGCAGGGGGAGCAGCATGTAGGAGAGGGAGAAGCAGACTCCCCGCTGAGCAAGGAGCCCGATGTGGGGCTCGATCCCAGGACCCTGGAATCACGACCCGAGCTGAAGGCAGACGCTCAATCAACTGAACCACCCGGGCTCCCCAGGAAATGCTTTTAATATAGCACATGGAAAAAAGTGGGCTCTGACCTTTGGACGCAAATGATGGGGAAAATGTAAACCATCTAGAGGCCATATACAAATGTTCGTAACAGTCCTTGCTTATAGGCAGTAGGGTTCTGGGCTTTTCCAACTTGATTTTTCTGTGTATTTCCTTGTTTACAGTAAATATTCTGGAATTGGGCGAAAGTGATTCTGCAAAATTTGTAGACTGTGGAGATAGCTGGGCAATAGAGACCTAGCTGGTTTACAGTTCGTGTTTTACATAAACTCGCTGGTTTACAGTTCTTGTTTTACATAAGCTGAGAATCAACTTTTACTTAGACTGTTTCTTCTGACCGGATTTCAGCGCGGCCGAGGGGGCTGGCGCCCCGGAAGGCTTGCTGAGTGGGGCCGGGCTCTGCCCACGCCGGACACTGCACCCCGTGGGGCACGCGGACGCCCCTGAGAAGCCGCTTCCTGGCTCTGCTCCATCCGGCCACCTGCCCCTCTTCCTTATGTGAAAAGTCGTTTGTGTTTGTGTCCACTGGATCCCCTTTTGGACTGGAGACATAAAGGGGGGCGGCGAGGGGACAGCCACCACTGAGCCCCCTGTACCGTCTGGGCGGGGCATGCCTTCCCTTCCGTTCGTCTCCCCTCTGGGGCAGAGCTCCTGACCGCCTGCATCTGAGGCTTTGGCTGGCCTGGTTGGTGGGAACCGTGGCTTAGGAAGCATTCTGGAAGCGTCTGTTTGGGCGCTGACATTTTTGTAGGTTTTGTAATTTAAATAAAGATCCAGGACCTTTGATTTTAATGCCAGCTTGAACTCTCTTGGTGGTACTAATAAAAAAACTTGTCTGGGAAATGGGAGTCACTTCTAATTTTTGTCTTTAGGATTTACAGATGGATCCAGCGGAAAAGACAACAAACAGAAGTGAACAAAAATCCAGGTAAATAAAGTCAGCTACACCTTCACACGGGTAGATGGCCGCTGTCGTCCGTCTGCTCGGGTGCTACGTTTAGCGCCTGCAGTGAGCGCGGGATGAGAACTTGTGTCAGGAGGGAAGCTCGCGCCTTCTGCCGCCACTCTTCGCTTCCGTGTGAGACGTGTTCCAGAAGGCAGTCTTCTCTTTGTCCCGGGAAGTGACGGTCACCTGGTCTCCAAGTGACACGTGGTCCCGGGGTCCCGTCTGAGACGAGGCATGCCAGCACCGCTGGAGAGCACTGTGATCCTCCGGGACCATGAGTGGTTCTTGAAAAGTGATGCTAGATAAGGAGGTGTTAGCTCGGGGCCTGAGAGGCGGAAAACCAGCTTCGGCCAGGATTTCCTTGCCTGCCCCGGCCAGCAGGGGCCATTTTGTCATCACGCTGGTATTGCAGGCTCTTGGCAGCTTCAGGAATTAAAAGTGCGAGCTTTCTGTTCCCGTGTATGTCACTTCAGCGGATGCTCAACATCCCGGGGGCCTTGATGAGCAGGACGGGCCTGTCCCCAGGTCGCTGCGGGGCGAGGGCAGAGCGCGAACAAGAGATACGCAGAAGGGAACAGCGCAGGCTTCATCCTCTGGGGGCGTGCAGGAGCGGAGGGCGTGCGTGGCCGTGTCTGCCCGCACACTTCGCCCATGTTCCCGGACACTGTCTTTCCTTGGGGTGGCGATAGTCGCCACGGTGACTTCTGTTCTCCCCTTCCGTTGTTTCAAGTAGAAAGTTCCTGAAAAGCCTCATCCGGAAGCAGCCGCAGGAGCTGCTGCTGGTCATCGGGACGGGCGTCAGCGCCGCCGTGGCCCCCGGGATCCCCGCCCTGTGCTCCTGGAGGAGCTGCATCGAGGCGGTCATTGAGGCGGCCGAGCAGCTGGAGGTGCTGCACCCCGGGGACGTGGCGGAGTTCCGCCGCAAGGTGACGAAGGACCGGGACCTGCTGGTGGTGGCGCACGACCTGATCCGGAAGATGTCACCTGTAAGTCTTTCCACACAGGCGCTTCCGGCTTCCTTGGGGGACGCGCTTCTGGACCCGGTCGGTGGACCCGTGACCACCATGGACACGTCCACGAGCCGTGGTCGGGCCCTGCACTCCGCAGAGGGTGGCTGATGAGCGGGGGGTCTCGCGTCCGGGAGACTAGTCCCTGCGACAGCCGTGGCCGTGCTGGGTGCAGAGGGCTCCTCGAGTAGCCCCTGCCAGCCGGAGCCTGAGTCCAGGCGGGGCATCCACGATGGTGTCTGCTATGTCACCGCGCTGCGGGGTCTCCTGCTGTGGGCGGAGGGTGTTCTCGAGGTGCGTTTTGGGTGGCAGCAGGCCAGCCACGGATCTTCAGATGACGGCGGCTCCGCAGGCTTTTGAGGATGGGAGAGGTTAGAGCGGCTTTGTCTGCAGGTAGAGGAGAGGTAGTAGAGAGGACGGATGGGAGAACAGGGGCGCTGGTGCAGCTGTGGGGGTCCGCCTCGGGCAACTGCTCGGCCAGGTCCACCGCCGGGAAGCCACGGGACGTGGTAGAGGCTCGTGGCGGGTTTCCGCTTGCTCCTTCCAGACTCGTTAAAGCACGGCCATCCTCTGAGAGTCCAGGTGGGGGTCGGTGTTGGAGACGCTGCACAGAGAGCAGGAAGAGGAGTCTGCGGAGCCGCTGGGGAGCCTGGGAGAGTTTAGATGCTGTAAAGACACCCAGCTGTTGGCTTCCATGTAAACATCTGGGCCAGCAGCCGCGGGAGAGCAGGTGTCTTGCCAGTGTTGGGGCCCTGGGCCCCGTCTTGCTGCTCTGCTCTCTTCCTGGTGTGGCCTCCGCCTCGTGCTGTGAGGTCACAGGAGCTGGGACAGTGTGCCTGTCTGGCCAGGGGGACGCGGGGGCAGCTCCTGCCTGCTGCCCTCCAGGGCCTGGTGCGGGGGGCATATCGGCCACGCGGCTGCTTTACGCGCGGCCGCACCTGGCTTTCTGGAGCCTGGGAAGGGTTTCCAGCCAGACGGCCTCCCCCATGGGGCTGTTCTGTTAATACGGGGCTCCTGCGACCTAGGGCAGGGCTGGCCCGCCGCCCATCTGGTAAATACGGCTCTGGGGACACAGGTGCGCACAGCGTCTGGTGCCGCTTTCCAGCCGTGGCGCAGGGTCGAGCAGCTGTGACTGCGCCACACAGCCTCCAGCAGTGGCTCTCTGGTCCTTCAGAGACGGGGTGCTGAGGCCTGTCCCCGGAGGGGGGGAGATGGGCGTGGACAGAGAAGTGTGGGGGTGCTGGGTGGTGCGGGGGGCACGTTCGGGTGAGGTTCGCTTGGAACCTCGGGCGAGGCCAACACTCGTCTGGCCTGGTTAGCGCTCCTGCTTGTGTGGAGCGTAACTATGCTTTGTGTATTTTGTGAAACTTCCTAACGCGAGTTACATGAGGCTTGTCTGGACGGCGGGGTTCCCCGCACCCAGCTGAGCAGGCTGAGAACTGGGCGGGCTGGGGGGAGCTGTATCCATGCTCCCGAGGAATCCAGCAAAGCGCAGGAGGGGCGGTGAGCTGGGAAACTTGCGGGGCTGGGGCAGCGGTTGCAGTGACGGATTATGGGGTGTCAGCTGCTGAATGGGACAAGTTAGGCCTGTGGGGTGGAGACCCAGGTCCATGGCCACCGAGCCAGTGGTGTGCTGGTCTTCATGGGGGTGGGACGGCCCTGGGAGCCAAGGTGCTGCAGGGTCAGAGGGCGGCAGCCTGGGCCAGGAGTTCTGGAAGGGTCTGGCTCTTGGTAGTGATAGGTTTGGGATGTGACCAGAGGCTGGATGACTGAGATGGGACAAGGTCTGTGGAGGAGAAGCCATGATACGGGACGGTCATTTCAGTGACCGAGAAGGCAGCAGGGACTGTGACAAGTACAGCTGTGCCTGTGTGGCGCTCTCCGGGGAATCTGTGGTCTCTCCTGTGGTCTTCAGAGCCTCCCACGATCTGCCCCCGGGTCACCTCACCTGCTGGCCTTCCCCCTGCTCCTGTCCTGTGATGGGGGCCCCTTGCTCACCCTCGGACCCAGCCGTGCTGCCGCTACCTCAGTGCCTTTGCACTTACTCTTTCCTCTGTGTGGGACGCGCTCTCAGAGGCCCTTGATTTCTTTAGTTCTCTGTCCCAGCGCCCCTCATCAGAGGCCTTCCCTGGCGCCCTTTGGCCCACCAGCCGCTGCCCCCAGCAGCACATGGCTTTACTTCCCCGCGGCACGGGCCACTACGGACGTATCACTTGCTGTTTGTCCGTGGTCTGTGTCCTCTAGGGTTTCAGGAAACTAGGTGAGCCTGGGTTTCCTTTCTTCTGAGCCAGCGCCCGGCGCACTGCTGCTCAGGGGCTCGGTGCCGGAGAGAGGGCGCCTTGTAACTCCCGCTCCGCCTCTTCGCAGCGCACAGGCGACACCAAGCCCAGCTTCTTCCAGGACTGCCTGATGGAGGTTTTCGACAACCTGGAGCAGCACATCCAGAACCCGCTGGTGCTGCAGTCCATCCTCAGCCTGATGGAGCGGGGCACCAAGGTGCTGACCACCAACTATGACAACCTGCTGGAGATCTTCGGGCAGCAGCAGAGCAAGCCCATGGAGTCTCTGGACCTGAAGGACAAGACCAAGGTGCGGGCTGAGGGCGGGAGCGGGGTGGGGGGAGGGATCTGTGCTGCGGGGGGCGCGGCCTGAGCTTCCATTTTCCAGTGCGTTAGTGACCGTGAGGCTGACGGGTGATGCCTTTCCTGTCTCTGGACTTTGCTCACCACCTGCCCTTGTCTTTCTCGTGCCTTCTGTCTGGCAGGCTTCCCACGTGTGTGGACTTCTTACAGGCCGGGGCGGGGCGCAGGGAGCAGGGCAGGAAGGGCCACAGTCGCCCCCGGTCCTCGTGCTGCGGAGCAGGTGCTCCCGCCCTCGCTCAGGCATCGGGATTATGCCACATGTAGCGTTTTCATCTTGGCCTTCTTCCTCACTGTTCGCCTTTGAGCCTTTTGCCGTCATGAAGCCGTGTTCGAGAGCACGCTTGTAAGCGGCAGTGTCACAGTTGAGGGACAGTTGTTGTCCTTCTCTTATCGTTAGCCAATTCCCATGATTATGAGGGAGGCTTTGGTGAAAATCCTTATGGTTCTGTGTCTTTGTTTACTTCTTTAGGGTAAATTCCTAGAAGAGTTGTGGGGTCAGAGGGCGCGAGTATTTTAGGCAGATGATACGAATTAGCAAATTGCTTTCCAGAAGGTAGCCAGTTTATACTCCCAGCCACACAGGAGAGTATCCGCTTCCAGCATCTTGCGAGCACATGGTGTCACCAGAAAACAAAACACATTTCCCCCACTGAGGTGAAAATTTTACATTTTTGTTTCTCTCCTTGCTTAGGGTGATCACAGTTTCACGTTATTGGTTGTGTTTCTTTGGCGACATGTTTGTGTCTGCTGCGTATTTGTTCAAGATTTTATGTCCTTGCTGATACTGGGCTCCCCGCCCTCGTCGGGCCCCGCCCTCTGGGTGGTCTTGCAGGCCCTCTGCGCAGAACCCAAGCGAGACGTAGAGATGGCTCCCCCGTGAGGCCCTGAGTAAGCATGTGACCGCGGCCCGCTCAGACCCCGGGCTTCTCTTCTGCAGCTCCTTCCCTAGATCTCGGCAAAAGCCTGGCAGGTGGTGATGTGCCTGTGGGACACCCACGAGGACGGGTGACACCCTCTCCTGAGCTGTTAGTGACACGTGAGGGGACACCTACTCTCCGTGCCTGAGCCACCTGTCCCCACTGTGAGGCCTGCTTGCTGTTGGGAAGAGCATCTCTGGAAATACGCGGCTGAGGGCTTGGGGCTGAGCTGCCGGCGGGCTCCTCTGTCTGGGTCCAACCCGTCAAGCTGTGGGGGTTTGTCCAGTCGTCTGGCGCCCTCCGCCCTCGGGACCGCCCGCCGCTGTGAAGGGGCTGCGGGCACGAGGATAACGAGCAGTTTGAGGGATGTGCCTCTTTTTAAGGACTTTTGTTCTAGGTCTTGAGATGAAATCAGTGTAGAGCTGTTTGATGTTGTTGTTTCATATCTATTTTTTCTGGGCGTAAACACCACATCTACACACAGGAATTAAAACACAACGTGTCACTTAGAAGGGAGCGTCCTCTCAATCCCTGAGCGTCACCCGTCTCCAAGTGTGTTGTGGTCTCAGGCTGGAGGCGGTTTCTGCACGGCTGTCTGTCTGTCCGGCCGTCCTCTTGGACAGGGTGGGAGCAGCAGCAGCCCGGTCACCCTCGGGCTTTGCGGGGGGCAGTGTAAGGTGAGACGGGTCCCTCGCTCTCCCCGGGGTAGGCTGGAGGAGCGCGCGTCCAGGTGAGAGGTGTCCTCGTCCGCCCGCGGCAGGTAACGCCCCCGTCTCGCTTGCTTCCGGCAGGTCCTGCAGTGGGCCCGGGGGCACATCCGGTACGGCGTGCTCCACATCCACGGCCTGTACACGGACCCCTGCGGCATGGTCCTGGACCCGTCGGGCTACAAGGACGTCACGCAAGACCCGGAAGTAATGGTAAGGGCCGCCGTCGTTAGGCGTTGGCTGCGTCCCTTGGGCCGTGGTGGCCACTAGTTCCTTGGTGGCCGTCCGGGTAGTCTCTTGGCCTCTAGGCCTGCCCGCCCCATGGTGCCCGCGCCGGGCCCCGTTCTCAGCTGTCTCTCCAGGTGCCTCGGGCTGACGCCGGCGCTCACGCGGTGGGCCCCGATGTTGTGGGCGGCCTGTGGGGCCCTGGGCCCTCTGTGCGCTCTCGCTTGGGCCACTGCTGCCATGTCCTCTGTGTGTGCGCGCGTGCTTGTGTGCGCACGCGGTCGTGTGTGCGCGCGCGTGCTTGTGTGCGCACGCGGTCGTGTGTGCGCGCGTGTGCTTGTGTGTGCGTGCACACACACTTTCAGGCACCTCCTCTCCTGTCTCTGCTTGGCAAACGAGCTTTCAAAACCTCATTTTACAGCTTCATTCTCTGTGAAGCTTTTTTATATCCTGGAAAAAACGAAGAGTGGAAAAGCTGCTTTTCAGCTTTTGTAAAGTTTCTTATTAGCGCACTTAGAAACCACAGTATCTTCGCTGAGTCCATGGTTATCTAGGGGTCAGGCACTCTGGTCCTCCTGCTGATGCTGGCCCGTGGCCCATGGCACAGGCGTGGCCTGACAGGTGACTGGTCACCGTTGGGGGCTGTGAGAGGCCGGGGCGGACACAGGCCTCTCGCTAAGGTGTCAGGTGTCTGAAGTGGTGACTCCCCGTTGCCTGCCTGAGCGACCCCCTGAACCTTTGCCACTCTCTCTGCCCTGCTCCCTGGGGTCACTGTCACAGGTCCCCTCCCTCCTCAGCTCTTCTGCCCTCACTCCCGAAAACCCCCTTCTCCTGACGAGAGCCGGGTTGAGGTCTGCAGCACCAGATGGCTGGTGGCTGCGGCGGACGTTAGGCTGTCTGCACTCTGAGGCACAACTAGAGCGGCCATGCCTGCCTGGGATCTGCGCCCTTGAACCCCGCCTGGGGGAGGAGGGGATTCCCATGAGCGCCGAGCAGGGACTGCGCTCAGCGTGGGCCCGCGGGCTCGCGTGTGGCGCCGGGTGGATGTGACCAGCATGTCTGGAGCGCGTGCCCCTCTCACCGCGTCCCCGGCGAGGCTGGCGGGGAGGGCCTGTCGCTGGGCCCCTTCTGAAGCGTGGGCGCACCGTCGGCGGTCGGGCTGAGGGTCCCGCGGTCTTACGGGCGAGCGCTGCAGTCTCCCCGCTGGTCTTCTAGGAGGTCCTCCAGAACTTGTACCGCACCAAGTCCTTCCTGTTCGTGGGCTGCGGAGAGACACTCCGGGACCAGATCTTCCAGGCCCTGTTCCTGTACTCGGTGCCCAACAAGGTGGAGCTGGAGCACTACATGGTCGTGCTCAAGGAGAACGAAGACCACTTCTTCAAGCACCAGGCAGACATGCTCTTGCATGGGATTAAAGTCGTGTCCTACGGGGACTGTTTTGACAACTTTCCTGGCTACGTGCAGGACCTCGCCACGCAGATCTGTAGGCAGCGCAGCCCAGGTAGGGGTTTTCCTTCTCGACTTCTCCAGGTGCAAGGCCGAGAGAGTTCTTTCCAGTTCTTCCTTTTGTTTCGAGATACAATTTACACGCTATGAAATGCAGCGGAGACGTGATTCTTGTACCACTAAGTTCCCGGGCCCTCCGGTGACCCTTAAAAAGGCGAGTGTGTCAAATAGAAGGTCAGGTAGTCGGTGCGATGGTGACATCTGTGCACGGGACGTGAGCGCGTCGAGCTGTGCCGATGGCAGTCCGCGGCTCTTCCGCTGTTGGAGGACTCGCCACGCACCCGGTCACCTCAGCCAGGAGACGCTCCCGCCAGCAGCTGCGGGGGGACGTGGAAGCCGGGAAGGTGCAGAGCCGTCACGCGCCCTTATCCCCTTGCTGCGTTTCCCGGGTTCAGGCTGCAGGGCCACAGAATGCTCTCACCGTAACGGCTTGACCCTGTGCCCCTGTGAGCCACACACCTTTTCAAGTGATTCTCCCGGGCCAGCTCTTGGGGAACTGCCAGGAATGACCGAGATGACAGAGCAGCTTTTAAATTGGTCGTCCCAGCTTAGGGCAGTTAACGGCTTTGAGTTTGGGTCATTAAACACGGACGATGCAGACCCGGAAAGGTCTGGGCCGGCTGGATTTAATTACGGCAAGAAGCGGCCCCGCTGCGCCAGGCAGGGGAATTGGGTCAGCCACTGAGCCGCTGCCTGTGCCCGCTGTGACCTCAAAGACTAGAGGGTGCCAAGGTCATGGGTAACTGGACACACACGGGGTCCAGCTGCATCGTCTGTCCCCGCTAGTGCCAGTCAGAATCGCGAGGGTTAGCTCGTGGGCCGGCTTCGGGTGCACGTCCACGGGGAAAGCGGAGTCAGGCCACTAGTCCGTCTCCGAGGCAGAGAAGGAGCCAGGCGGACGCTTGCTGGGCCACACTCTGCTCTGTGTTTTCACCTCCTCGACCTTCATTTCCGGTCCCAGTGTCCATGGCCACTAAGTAGGTGATCTGACAGATGGCAAGAGCAGCTCAGAGAGGGAGTCACTTGCCCAGCTCGTGCCCAGACATTTTGGAGCTGGGACTGGAATCCAGTGTGTCCCAAACAGGCCCACGGGCCTGGCTCTAGAGAGGGGCGGAGGTGCTCCCCGTCCTGCCCCTACCCACAGCCTCTCCTGCCTCCGCGTGCATGGCTCCCCGGGGGACCGGGATCTCATGGACACCTGCGTGAGCACAGGCTTCTGGGTGCCTTTCTGCCCCACAGAGGCCATGTTCCCGGACCCTGGCAGCTGAGTGGGTCTGACGAGGTGTCGGGGCTGAGAGATCTTTGGATTTATAATCCGTGACCGGGTCCTTCAGGACGTTGTACTTAATGTTCATGAATGACCTCTCTTGACCGGAGAGAGTGGTGTCCCAGCACTGGCAGTTCTGAGAGTGGCAGCGGTAGCATGCCCTTTCTCCGTGTGTGCCAGGAGCCACATGCCGACGCCTTGGTCCTCACGCCGACACTGGGTGGAGGAGAGGAGAGGCGCTCGCTGGCCTATCCGCCCCTCCCCCTGGGACACTCGAGCTGGCATTCAGGGTCCCGGTCACTATTGCTGTGCCTCTCTGAGCAGGCCTGGCTGCCGTCCCCGCCGCCAGCCTGAGGAGGAGGAGGCCGCTAGGTCTTGGTTCTGCTGACTGTTTTCCTTTCTCTCCAGATGCTGACCGAGTGGACAGCACCACACTGTTGGGTAAAGCAGATCTTGATTTTTACCAGCCGGGCTTTTGCTTCCACGTTCCATTACCTTCCTGCCACCTTAGAACCGTGAAAGTGTTTCTCGCAGTAAATCCCTAGGCTGTAGTGACCCACGTCCAGTGGAGATGGGGGCCAGTGGGGCCTTAACGATGGTCCCTGCGACAGTGCGGGGATTACAGATGTGCTCCCCCAGCGGGGAGGCGCAGTGTAAACCCGGCTTCTGTGCTGGCACCTGAAAGTCCTTTCCCGTCCCACAAGTAAGAGCCGCAGGGCAGTCGGAACCAGGTTCGAATCGTGTTTCAGCCCCGGGTCTGCGTTGGAGCAGCCCCTCTCGGCCCCCTCGGAAGCCTTCGTCGCAAAGGTTCTGAGTGTCCGTACGCATCTGCGTGCTGCTGCTTGGCTCTGGCTGGTGATAGTCACAGGCTAGGACCGTGCTCGGTGGCCGCGGTGGCCTCCCGTGGGGGCCTTGGCGCCTAGGTGTCCGCTCAGGTCAGTGGGGTGGGGGTGGCAGGGACCCCGCAAGCGTCGTGCTCCGCCTCCCATCTCTGACTTCGTCGCCCTGCGGAAGGACGCCTGTAGTTGAGTCACCCCATCACCCGTGACTCCCACGTCCATCCTTTGGGACAAAGCGCACCCTGGGGCGTCCTGCAGGGTCGCAGGCCGGTTCCTTAGTGCAGTCAGATTTATAAACGGGTCCTTGGGGGGTGGCTTCTGGAAGAGATCGGCTTGCAAGTAAAGGTTTTGGTCTTTCAGGGAACGCGTGTCAGGACTGCGCCAAGAGGAAGCTGGAGGAGAACGGAACGGAAGTCTCCAAACGGCCTCGGCAGTCGGACGCGGGTACGGTGCTGTCGGTGCCCCACGTCGTCGGGAGGTCCGGTGGGGTGGCGGGGTGGCAGGCACGGTCTGATGTTGGCCCACAGATTTCACAGGGCGCGTCCGCCACGCGACCGCGGCCGGCGCACTGAGCAGTGTCATCGGGCACCTGGGGCTGCCCGCTGTCCCGACTTATGTCCCTCAGTCTCCAGAATAAACCACTTCGAGTCACTATTTCTTCTTCTCTCCGTCACGGACTGAGCTGTTCGTAAACCCGTTACCTGAGTGGATCAGGCCCGGGGCCTCCGGGACGGGATCCGGTGGCGCTCACCCGGCCCGGCCTCATCTCACGTGCCTCATCTCTCGCTGCCTGCGTCGCGGGTGGGACTCCCGGCTCTGCCCTGGACCCCCTCAGCCACCTCAGCCCCGAGTCTCTTCTCTGGGGGCGGCGCTGGGCGCGTGGTCACGGCCCGGGCCGGAGCAAGCCTCCCGGCCTGCCTGTGGGTCGTCGCCAGGTTGGGGAACAGAAGCGCTTACCTTAGCAACGGCGCCAGCCTTCCCTCCCGTCCTGCTTCAGCGACGTGCGAGGCGCCTGGCGGGGCTGGCGTCGCTGGCGGGGCATCCTCTGGCCGGGGCGGGTCGTCTTTCTGTTTGCTGTCGGCTGGCGTCGCTGCTGGTGCTCTTTATTTTTTGAGGAGTTTCTAGATTTCTGTTTGCCTTGTCCAAAAACTCACGTTTCACAGTGTTTTTAACGTGTCATTCTCCTGGTCATACCGCCCGGCCCGCTTTCCTGAGACCCTGACCTTCTGCTCCGCTGTGAACTGGGCGCGAAGCCGGGCCCCAGTGCCCTCCTGGCCTCCCGCGCCACTGCCCGGCTCCTCCTTCCCTGCGCGGACCTCGCGGGGGCTGTCACAGCCCTATGTGCGGGGCACCAGCTCCCCGGGGCCCGGGGGGCCTGCGGGTGTCGTCTTGTGGTCCTGCCCCTCTGCACATGGTGGGGGTGCGGGTTCTGCTTCCTGCTTTCCAAGGGACTCTGTGGTCTCCGGGTCCAGGGTTCCTGCTGGGAGAGGGTCTGTTGCGTACCCAGGTCTCGTGACCTGTAGGTGACTGCTGTTTTCTGTTCTGGAAGCTTTTAGGATCATCTTTTCTCATGTTCAGAAATTTCACGAAGGCGTGTTTAGGCGGCCGTCTCTTTTCCGAACCTGGCTCAGTTCCGCCCCCTGCTTCTCCAGCCCCGGGTTAGCTGTGGTTTCCTTGTTTCTTTGGCCTCTGTTCCTTCCTCCCTGATTTCGTCCTGCTTGGAGCTTCTGGGGTGATTCCTGCGGTCTCTTGTTTTCTCTCTCGTCCTCGTGTTCGTTGTCAGGTTTCATCTTTTCAAAACCTTTCTGGGAGGTGCTCTGAATGCTGTTCTAGCCTTTGGGTTAAATTTTCATTCTGAGAGCGTTTCCATCCATTTCTGGGAGCTCTTGTTTTCTCATTTATTTTCTGTCGTAGCATCTTCTGCCCCCGTGACTGTGACAGCTTCTCAAATCTGTAGACACACTAGGGGCTTCCCGGGGTATCTGACTTGACTTCATTCCGGAAAACACTGGGACTGAGGATTTTCAGGTAACAGTTTTTAATTCCTTTAAATAAGAAAACCTCAGCACGGTGCTCTCCGACTGCTCTCTGATAGCATGTTGAGAACGTCTAGGGCTGTGAAGCACGTCACCTGTTGGTACCTGTCACTCAGCGTTTAACCGAACGTTCGGGGGCGTTTGAGCGGCCTGGGATGCGGCGTCTTCCTGCCGCAGCACAAGCAGCTTGTGCTGCCCTAATGGTCTGTTGTGGCCACAGAGCTCGCCGAGGAGGCAGGGGACGCTGAGAGCCAGCTCTAGGAGCGGCTGCGCGCAGTGTCGCTCCCGGTGGGCCTGGTGGCGGGAGGCCCTCCCGCATCCAGCCGTGGGGAGGGTGCCGTCGGAGCAGCGTCCGAGTTCTTCCCGGTCTTCCCACCGGGTGCGGGAACGCAGCCAGCAGGGACATCTGTAACCGGGTCAGATGAAGCCAGTGGCGTGAGCTTGCCCTGGCTTCCTCCAGGACAGGCGGCTGTTTCCGGCAGCCTCTCTCCTGCCCCTTGCTCTCGTCCCGCCTGGGACCGCTGGGCCACTGAGCGAAGCCGGCAGACGTGTCTGTTCTCAGCCCGCGGTGCTGCTGCTGCGTCTGCGCGCCTGCCCTCCGGCCGGCCCCGGGGCGCGTGGCGCTGTGGCCGGAGAGCCAGTGGGGCTCCAGGGTATCCCCCGGTGCCAGCATCCACCGCCACCGCCACTTCTCCCCGGGCAGGCATGTCCCCTTCTAGAAAGCCTTCCGGGTCCCCGTGGGCCGGAGCGCGAGGAGGAGTGTGGCCGGCTGTCGTCTGCTCGGCTGTCCCGCAGCGCGCGCCTCCCTACCCTTCGGCGGGCTCCTGCCATCGGCGTGGTGACATGCCCCCCCCGCCGTGGGCTGACCCCCGCAGTCTTCTAGGAAGGGAAGGGGCACCCCACCCGTGGGCTGGGACTCCCCGATGGCATGTACAAGTCAGAGCCACGTCTAGGCGGCGGTGGCTGCTGTCCGGAGTCACTTTGAAAGCGTTTAGCAGGAAGAAAAGCTGTAGATTGTTCCAGAACTAGATCCTCTTGGAAGTACTCCTTCAAGCCGAGTTTAACATTTCCGTATCCCTTTTTTTCGTTGAAACAGATGATGCTGGAGGGTCTTGAAATCTTTAAAACCAATAAAGCCTGCAACTTGAAAACCAGCCTTCTGTAACCGCAGTGCCGTAACCCAAACGATGAGGAATGTTCGAAGAACTCCGCGGGGGCTCTCCTCCCCGAACCCACCCCTCCCCCGACGTGTGGCCGCGCGGCCTCGGAGGCTGGTGCGATCCCACCGTGGGCTTTGGCTGCTGGGGAGGTGAGGCGCCGCGGCGGGGCCCGCTGTGCAGCCGGCGGCCGGCTACCTCAGGGACCGCGCGGCGGGCGGCCAGCCCGGGCCTCCGGGCTCCCGCTCCGCACGCCCCCATCGTCAAGGTGGTTTTTCTAATAAAAGGGGAGGGTGAGGACTGTCCAAGCAACAGGAGTTGCCAAAGAGGAAAAACAAAAAACTAGACACTTAAATTTTCTAACCTTTCTGTGGAAACGTGTGTTACTGTAGAGAAACGTGCGCGTTTGTGGTTGGCGAGCGGAGCGGGAGCCGGTGCTCCGAGGCACGGCGCCTGCTGCTGAGAACGCGGTGTTTGAAAAAGACCAGCTCTGTGGGTTTCTCCAGAATTCCCTAATTTTGGTGACTTCGGCTCCCGAGAACGGCAGGCCCGAGCTCGGCGGAGGCCCCGGACGGCAGCTCCCTCCCGGCCGGGTCCGCTTGCCGGCCGCCGGCTGAGAACCGGCAAGTGCAGCACGAGACCAAGATCGAAGCTTTTAGTTAGAAGGTCAAGTCCAAGTTTTCCGAGTTTTTATTCTATGGGGTAAGGTCCAACCTTTCTGTCCATCTCTTCTGAGTCTCTTCCTCCAGCCCAGTTGTCAGCAAGGCAGGCAGAGCCTGCGGCCGTGCGGGCGGTCGGGGTCTGCCGGGCGCTGCTCCGACCGTGACCCCGGCGGGGACCCTGCTTGCTTTCCCTTTCAGAGGCTGCTGTGTTTGATGTGGTTTCTTGCCAAGTCCCACGACACTCTCATTGATGGCGCTGGAGCTACCCCAGGTAGCGGGAAGGTTAAGAACAGGAAACACGAGGTTGGGATGTGTCGTGAGTGGGAGAGAAGCCAGAGACCCGCTTAAGACTTTTTTTTCTTTTTGAAGCATGAAAAATTTTATGTTACTCTGGTCATAAATAAAATTTTAACTTCAACTCTGTGTGCTCGATTTTAGTTGTGACAAGGCTGGGCGTGATTTAGTTGATGAGAAGGTTTATCCTGAGTTACCGGTTGTGAAGTCAAGTAACTACTTGAATGTGTTTAAATTTTTTAAAAGGCAAATATTTAAGTTGTTGGTTTTTTAAATACACGTTTACAGAGTGCAGCCAGGGATGAATGAATCTGAAAGGTGGCTGGACACAGGGTAGACGAACATGGGAGAGCTGCGTGGGCAGTTCTGCTGACATTCGTGAAAATGCCAGTGCCTTCCAGCACGACCGATCTGTTAGAAACAACTCGAGTGTCACTCATTTGCTTGTGTGTGACCTTGTTGGGGAGAAACGCTGGGTCGGGTGATGACAGGATGGCCCCGTCGTAGCCGCGCCCCGGCCGCATGCCGCCCCCACCGTCTGGTGGTTGGCAGGAACGGGGGGGCACGGTCCTCTCACAAAACAGACTGCACCTTGAGGGATCACTGAGCGTGAGAACAGCCCAGGCAGCGATAAGGGACCGCCCTGAGCTCGTGGGGCTCTACAGGGACATTTCAACATGAAGCCGATGTTTCCAAGGCAGAGGAAGGCCGTGATTTCGAGGGTGTTGCCAAAGTTTTCTTAAGAAAGGAACAGAAGACAGAGCGGCTTCTGCTATCTGCAGCTGATAGAGCTGGGCCGGGGGAGGGCAGGAAGCGTCTCTGTGGCTTTGGTCTGCTTGCTGGGCACAGAGTGCCCTTCGCTGGCGTGAAGCACGGAGCGGTGTCCCCGAGCGAGCGCCTTAGTCCTTCAGGTGCCTCCCGTGAGCACCTGGGCCCAGGCTTCAGAGGAAGACCATCAGCACTTCAGAATTTCTTTTTAATTCCCTTTTGTATTGCTTTTTATGTTGACATATTTACAAACTCTTGTGTCGAGGGGTGACTTTCAGTAGATGGCAGTGAGGGAGCTACTCTGCTAGGTACTAAATTTTATTCCATTTTGAAATGGAAATATTATTGAAATGCAGCAACTTCCTTTCCTCCCCATAACAACCGTACGTAAGTTGTCAGTTACTGGGAAAGCCTGTGTTCTTCAATATTTTGTTAAGAGAAATTAGAGAAACAGATTTCACTAAAGCAGACATAATTCAGTTTCACCTTAAAATAGTTTTGTTTCAGGGCACCTGGGTGTCTCAGTGGGTTAAAGCCTCTGCCTTCGGCTCAGGTCATGATCTCAGGGTCCTGGAATCGAGCCCCGCATCGGGCTCTCTGCTCAGCAGGGAGCCTCCTTCCCCCCCCCACCACATCCCCCTGCCTGCTACTCTGCCTACTTGTGATCTCTCTGTCAAATAAATAAATAAGTAAATCTTAAAAAAAAATAGTTTGTTTCTGAAATTGTAGATTGGAAACGTTTAAAATTAGAATATTCTTTATTGGTATTGTCAATATTGATAACATCCTTTGAAATAACTTCTATAAAACACAGGCTCGATGCCCTAGAATTAGCATACCTGAGAACCAAGAGTTTGCCTTAAAGATTACTTAAACATACAAGGCAAGACCTGAGCGAAAATAATGCAGAATTCAACATTTTTCTGACTAGCTTTCAAAATGGCAGTTGAAATTACGGCACAAAGTTGTACCTTTTTTTTAAACCCATGCAATGCTACCTCCTAAAAAACTTGACCCACGGGGAAGGGCCCTGAACTTGGACGGAAGCGAGCTCTGGCGTCTCGTAGGTTGCAGCGGCACACAGACCACTCGACTGCTCCCACACGGGCGAAGCACGGGTGACCCTGACCTGCCAGACTGTCCTGTTGGCTCAGGGTCACTTGGGGTCCTAAAGCAACTCTCAGTTTCTTTTGCTGCTTTCCTGGTCTTCGGTGTCTGGATACTGAGAAAGATCCAGGGTCAAAACTCTGCTGAACATGCAGTCATCGTGCTGAATGAGAGAGAGGACAGGGGAGAGTCAGCTCTCTGCTTAGGGACAAAGTGTCATCAAACATCAAGGAAGGGCCACTAGGGAGCCTGGATTTGCACTTAAAAAGGGGCCCTTTTAGAGCCACTGGTCTCCAGTTACGTGAGCATCACGGCTGTGCACATGCCAGCCCAGGGTACACCTCTGGCTCACGGAGCGCTGTGAGCGAGGGGCTGCGGACAAACAGCGACTCAGGAAGGGCACTGGCAGCGGGCACAGGCGTCCCACTGGCTAAGGACACGCGCCGCTGCAGGGGTGGGCGCTCGCTCCACCTCCCCACACTAATGCGCACCTTGCCCTCACCTGCCTCCCTGACCCAGATGCCCCAGACCCCTTCTTCTCTGAGCCTGGAATGGTGTGGAAGCCCCAGTCCCAGCCAGCGGCCCGTGGCTGACTCCTCACCAGGTGTGTCCACCATGTGCACGCACGGCGCCGGTGGGAGTAAGCGCTTGGCCTCGCTCAGCTGACTTTGCTGGTCTGATGTACAGAGCCCCAGCCCCAGAGAACCGAAGATGGGCAGAGGAAAAAGATCCTTTTTGCTCTCCTGAGCTGGTATGAGAATTTCCAGCGGCCTCTAACGTCTTGGAGGCACAGGAAGGGAGGCTAATTTTTATCTTCGTTTAAATGAAAACTCGGGAAGTCAAGTGTCCCCAAACTGAACGATCTGAACTTCCCGAGCTGATGGAGCAGCTCAGTTCGGGGAGCAGCTAAAGAAAGGTGAATTCTGAGTCACTAGACAACCTGGAATGTCTGAGCAATTTGTTCTTTCCTCTGGTCCTTTTAAAAGCTAAATGGGGTCCTTTAGTGTGGCCCACAATGCATTTGTTTTGCCTGAAACATTCAAACATTGGAAAACATGAAACAGAATATTAATATTTGCTGGGTATGTCAGCATGTACCTTAACAAAGCTATCCCTCTGTTCTGCAAGTTTGGATTTGCCTTTTCACTTGAAGCATTTCTTAAAAATATCTGTGTACTGCCATAGAAAAAAACCGAGTTTTTAAAATCTTACTTGGTTTAAAAAAAAATCAGTAAGCCCGTATTTATCAGCCGTGGCAATGTGGAAATCAAACCGTATCTCCAGACCGCACGGGTACGCGTGGTGAGGTGTCGGGAAGCAACTGAGGGACACTTCTCCTTTCCCTGTTGCTGGTCTTTACCTCTGGATAGACGCCGATGAGCGCGTCCGCTCGGGAGTAGAACTCCTCCTTTAGGGAAATGATGATCATCTGAAACTGTTCTCGACTCTGCTCTTTGATGTAACTTGACACCTGAGGGAACAAAAGCCCACATTTCACCAGCAGGGAAAGGCGTCATTGCTGGGCCCCCGGACGGTCACTGTGCCTATTTCCAGCTTGGCCCGTGGTGGGTGACAAGGCACCTACTTGCCCTTCCGGTAACTCAGTAAAATCCACTATGGGAATAATTCAGATTCTAAAGTGAGATTAGTTAAAAACTTGTAAACCTTATTAAATCTATCATCTAAAACATCAAGAATATTTTAAGAACAGAGCTCTAATTTAAGAGACCGTCCGGTGAAAATGCCGTCAGCGTTCCTAGCTAAAACTGCCACCCAGACGCTATGTGCGCGTGCGGACGGACTGGTATTTAAACTTCCAATTTCCTGTGGCAGGAAAGCCAGGAGTGGGAAAAATGGCAATTATATATGTATTCAGGACCATAATCTAATTATTTGGTTAGAGTTGAACTCAGTGGCTCCTTCAGGAAGCTCAAATCCCAAGTCACGAGAATGAGAACAAAGTGGGCTCTGGACGGAAATGTCTTGTTGAACAAACTACTCAGAACCCAGGGAAAGATGGGGAAGAACGTGGCCACAGTTTCACAGATGTCTGCCAACTCCCAGCAGGTGTCTGCAGGGCCACAAGGGCTCTTCTCCGTCTGCATCAGTCCTGACCGCACCAAGGCCCTGGAGGCAGGCACGGCAGCCTCGGGTGGGGAGCGAGTCACTAGCCCAGGTGAGTGTTGAAGAGGGGAGACCGCCCTTGGCTAAGAGGCTGGATCCACCAGGCAGAAGGAACTCCATCCGCATTTGAGATGATGGGAGCCACTAGGATGTGGGACTGTGACGTCCCGGGATGCTGACACGAGTGGAAGGTGAGGCAGAAGGCACAGGTTTGGCCTGGAGAGTTACCTGCGGTAAATGGGGGCACCAGACCATGGGAAGGAGGGTCTGCTCGTCCTACATCTGCTCATACTCAGGGCAGTAGAGTGGCCAGGAGGGTAAACCTCAAGGGAAGACTGAAAGTTAAAAGGTTTTTAATATAGAGGATGGTTGCCAACAGAAAAGCCTTCAGTAAGAGTCCCTAGAGATGGCGGTGATACAAACATCTACATTTTGCTAGAAGACACAGCTACGTTAAAAGAGGCAGTCCGCAAAAACAGATCCCACCCCAGCACACACAGTGTGGGTACGAAGTGCCTGGAGCGCCCTCTTGGAGATTTCTCCCACAGGAGTCAGGCCATTGACTCCAATTAGCTGATGCACACTGGCTGGCGTTCAAGAGAAACAGATTTTCTCTTGCCCCATGTCTTCCTTCCCTGGTCACCCTGAAGCCTCGTGGGTCCCAGAAGGTGGCTCTGTGCTGTCCCCTACAAGGTTCAGGGGACTGGGGATCAGTTTTCTAAATTTTGTGACTGTGGAGTCGACAGGCTGTCCTCAGGTGCTCAGTGCCCAATGTGGGAAGCAGGGGCTGGGAGAAATCTGGGTCGGAGGAGGGCAGCCTGAGCAGCCCTGGGGGAAGACAGGCCCCTCCCGGCAGACTCCGCAGACTGAGAGAGCAGGCAGGCCAGCTTCAGAGACAGCCTGCCGGGGGGCCCCAGGCACTTAAGACACTGTTCTGAGAAGGACTCCTTAGCCAAGCTCACAAGACTAAGGTATACAGCAGGACGTCAGCTTCCACTGGGCCTGGAATCAGAACCAGAGCCTGATTCACACATCCCCGAAACGATAGCCCAGGCAGTAGGACCATGAGACCAGAGTCTGCGGGCCGGAGCTATCCC